GCTGCATTTATTATCACTTACCCGGGATGAATATAATTAAAAAAAAAAAGAAAAAGAAAAAGAAGATTAAATCCTCTTCAAGACCTCAATACCAGTTACTACCTGGACAGCAATAAGATGAGAACTCTCTCACCCTTCCATCATCAAATCTATATTTTTATTTTCTCTTTAGAATAGTCCCTCCATTTGAACTCAAGATTATATTCCCTCTCACTTTTTTTTGTAAAGGACTTGATTCCAGTAATTACTACCTCCATGGTACATTATCAACTTTTAAACTACCACCAAATTATTCCCATCTGCAAGTAAGTATGCTTTAATATTCCACCTAATATTCCCCTCCACTCCTGCCCTGTTTCTCTGATCCCCAGCCATGATATAATTCCTTAAAAGAATGGCCTATATTTCTGGTCTCAGATTAATTCACTCAGGTTCCATTTTCAACCCATTTCTCTTGTTCTTTTGTCTACATTATTTAATGAAACAGTTTTTACCAAAGTAACCAAAGGCCAACATCTTGCCAAATACAAAGGTCAACTCTCTGTCTTTATCTTACTATTCTCTCAGCAGTATACAACCATCTACCACTCTTCTTTCTTGAACTACTCTAGGCTCTTCTTTACTGATATGCCATGTGATATCATTCAGTCTATCAGCTTAAAAAAGGAAGGAAAGAAGGAAGACTCTAAGAAAGAAAGACTTTAGTCCTGACTTCACTACCAAATATGAGACTCATATATCCACTGTCTACCTCATAGATATCCCTATATTTAAAACTCTACTTTTACGACTTGCTCCCTCGACTCTAGTACTCCTCACATTAAAAGAACAGAGGGATGGGATAGGAAGGGAGGGAGCATGGGGTTAGAAATGATGGTGGAATGTGATGAACATTATTATGCAAAATACATGTATGACAACACAAATTGGTGTGAATATACTTTGTATATAGCCAGAGATATAACAAATTGTGCTGTATATGTGTAATAAGAATTATAATGCATTCCACTGTCATATAGAAATAAAAAAATTAATTAAAAAAAGCATACCACCAGAACCCACACAATTACTGAAACCAAAAACATGAAATTTATTCCTCATTCCTTCACTTATACCACATTGAACACATCACCAAGTCCTGATGACTCTATTCCCAAAATATACACCAAAACTGTCCATTGCCTGCATCTTCATTATTACTACACTAACAGAGGCCTACTACATAAAGAGAGGTCTCCTCTTTATGGACTATAATAACAGTCTGCTGGCTTCTCTGCTTAAAAGACTCATTCTCTTACAATTCATTCTATTCTTCCTGGCTGGTTTCTCTGATTAAAATACTATTTCTAACTCCTAATCATGCTGGCAAGACCCTTTTTTTTTTATTGGTTGTTCAAAACATTATAAAGCTCTTGACATATCATATTTCATACATTAGATTCAAGTTGGTTATGAACTCCCAATTTTACCCCAAATACAGATTGCAGAATCACATCGGTTACACATCCACATTTTTACATAATGCCCTATTAGTAACTGTTGTATTCTGCTACCTTTCCTATCCTCTACCATCCCCCCTCCCTCCCCTCCCATCTTCTCTCTCTACCCCATCCACGTAGAATCTGCATGATCTACTACTGATTACCCCTTACCCTGTTCATGAAAACATGCTTCCCCTTGCTTCTTCACTACTTTCTTAAGCATAGGTCTTTCTGCTCCTTGAGCATGCCAGTACTACTCCTAAGATCAGAATTTAGGAAACAATTAGCTCCTTGTTAAGGATTTTTTTCTGAGAGGGCTCCCATGATATCCTGAGAGTAGCCCCCACTTGCAAGCATTCTTTATCCCATGGACTTATTTTCTTTGTATCACTTATTTCCTTTGTCTGTCTATAATAAAATGTTTTTGTTCACTGTTACATCCCAAGCATTTAGAAAAATACTTGGTAAGCACCAATAAATATTTATATTTATATTTATATTTATAAATATAAATTAGAAATATAAATAGAATATTTAGAAAAAAATAAATAAGCTTTCAACAAAGTAAAAATATGGCTGGAATTTAAGAAAGAAAAAACTTTTATTTAACAAGCCCTAATGAAAATTTATTATCCAGGATCTAAAAGATGAGAAAGTGCATATACTGTGCTGTGAAGATGAAATACCTTTGATGAATAACAAGACCATTCAATGTGAAAGAAGTGCTAAAACAACAGCAGATTCAAATGCAATAGAATGAAATTCAATTAGTATATCACATCATAAGAAAAAAAAAACAAGAATCACAGACCTAAATTTAAGAACCAAAACTGTAAAACTCATAGAAGAAAATGTAAACCTTTGAGACAGGGTTAGGCAATGTTTTTTTTACATGTGACACAAGAGAGACAAGTGACCAAAAAAAAAAAAAAAAAAAAAAGAAGATAAAACGAACTTCAGAAAAACCTCTTTATTTCAAAGAAAAACATCAAGAAAATGGAAATAATATAAATGGGAAAACATATTTGTAGATTATCTATCAGATAAAACATTTGTATTCAATATATATAAAAACTATAAAAACCTATTGAAAGTGAACAACAAAAAAGACAAGAAACTCAATTTAAAATCAGGGCAAAGGATTTGAAGAAATATCTTTCCAAAGAAAATACCTTGTTTGTGGGATTCTAATATGGTACATACACTTTGGAAAATAGTTTGACAGTTCCTCAAACTGTCAAAAATAAAAGTTACCATATGACTCAATAAGTCCACACCTATATTAAACCCCAGAGAAATAAAAATGTCCACATCTCCCAAAATATGTTCACAGTAGTATTATTTTTAATAGCTAAAAGGTAGAAATAACTCAAATGTTCATAAACTGATGAAGAGATTAGTAAAATGTAACATATCCAGACCGTGGAATCTTCTTTGGCAATAAAAAACAATACTGAGACATTTAGAAAATGAAGAATGCTTAAAATATCATTTTGAGTAAAAGAAAGTTACAAAAGACCACATATTATACAATCCCATTCATATATAATGTCCTGCATGGGCAAAACTATGGAAAGTATATTAGTGGTTACCATGAGTTTGTGATGTGTGTGTGAGCATGTAGGAATTGGGAATGACTACTAACAGATACGGGAGTTCATTCTGGAGTAATGAAATAGTTCTAAAATCAAAGCTGGATGGCTGCATAACTTGAATAGGGTAAAAAAGCAATGAATTACATACCTTTAAAAAAGATTAATATTGTGGTATGTGAATTACATCTCAATAAAACATATTTACAAAGAAAAACTGAAGATATTAATAAAGTTAATCTTTCCAGATATAATATGTGATCATTTTTTTTTCAATGAGCATTCATTCTACTTTTTCATTTATGAGCATTCACTTTCCCGTTACATTTATGTAGAGAACATTCTCCATACAGATTGGCTAAATGTGTGCAGGATACTTTTACTCTTTGGGCATTCAGACAGCATCACAAAAGAAGGGCATGCAATATATTTGTTAAAAATAAAAGAGAAATGACTTTGAATTGCTAGTCAGAGAATAAACTTTTTTTGAGGGGGCACTAGCCTTTTATACTGTGTATACATAAAATTTAGTAATCTTGGAGCTACAATCATTGTACCAATCAATGCTATCAGAACAGGTTTCCTGAACATCTGCAGCCCCAGTCAGAATATAGCATGTTCTCTTTTTTCCTCCATTTTCCTTCTCTTGTCTATATTTGATATCTTGTTGACTTTGTGATAATTAGGTAAAAAGTGATAGGTCCCGACTGATATTGGACAGCTCAGTGATGGGGTAGGCCCAGTATTTTCTGATATGTTTCCTCTGTAAGATGCCCCATGAGGAAAAAGATAACAGCCTACCACATTCTGTGTGTCTGCCACATGGTAGTGGGTACTTATTGAATTAAAAAAAATTTTCCTGCATCGACACTATATGAAGCAGTCTTTGATCACACCAACACCATTCTAATTCTTTCCCTTCTCATCTTTTATTTTGTGACATATAATTATATTTGATAAACGAATGTTTAACTGAACTTTGGAAGTGGCAGAAAAGGGAAGAATGAAAAAACAAGGCCATTCCAACTTCTTAATTTATTTTCTCAACAACTGAGTTAAAGGTTATAAATAAATAAATTAGTCTTGTTTGTAAAAGGAGGATTGCTGCTGTGTATATCTCATACACTTTAGTTCACACTCTCTAATTAATCAAGGGTCTCTTTGTGTACTATAGTTCTTAGATTAAATTTGGATTCTCAGGTAAACCACAAACTCAGTAAGCCTCAGCCTCCTCCTTTCTAAATTAAGAATAACAATAATATCTAATCTGTCCTTCAGGATTATTATATGATTAAATGGGGAAAGAGTACAAAACACTTTGATAAATAATTAAAGCATTATCAGCACAACATATAATTAACTGCAACTTGTGTGCATTTCAATACTTATAAAATTTATTTAGCATATACCCATCAGATAATACTGGTTGATGTCTCCTATGTATTAATTATCATGTAAAATTTATCTGGACGAAGAATATAGCCCAGTGGTAGAGTGCTTACCTTGTGTGTGTGAGGCCCTGGGTTCAATTCCCAGCACCCCATCCCTCAAAACAAAACAAGACAAAACAAAACAAAACAAAAAAAAGCATAAAATTTTTCTCAGAGAATGAAAAAACCTGCTAGTTCTTTACCGAAAATATACCCCATCACAATATTCTTTTATTTTATTCTTTTTTTATTTACTGTTCCTAAATCTTCAAAATTGTGAAATTACTTGCTAAATTTTTTAGCAAGTAATTTTTACTGAATTCTAAGATCCCAGTGTAATAATCCCTTGAAAAATTCTAATTCCAATTAAGGAAAGTATATACCAGATTAACTTATGTAGAAGTTCTAAACTCTACAAGAATGCATTGCAACTCTCTGGTGTAGCACAATGAAAACTATAGTTTAAAGTTACCTTCCTGGTATTAAGAACTACTTACTTTTGCAGCACAGGATCGTATCACCTCCTAAAAGACATACAGTACAATAAAGAAGTATTCATAATTTCATTGAAATAAAGTAAAAACTCTTTTCAATTCATTCAGATATTGACCTTGTAATAACCAAAAACAGCATTCGGAAGAGTTTATCACCCTGCAGTTATTACTCTGCATTGTTTCCAATAAGTTGGAAGGAGTATAAATTAAAGGCAGTAATCAACAGACTTGTGAGAGCCCATATGTGTCTGCCTCAATGAAGACCTGTCTTCTCAATAAACCTGGACTAAACACTAAAATTCTGCAGTAGAATCCTAATGTCTAAAAGATACCCTGAATTAACTGTAGTATAATTACATCTATAAAATATCCATAAATATAATTTCTAAATTAATAATTTATACCAGGGGACATCTCAAAAACACCACTGAATGGTAAAGAATACGACTAGTGTTTAAAAAGCTAAAAAAGGAAACTACTTGCAATTCATAGGACAAAGCCAAGAAAAGATCATTTTTGAAAGGGAAACTAATAAGTCAATACATAATGGAAAATTACAAACTTTTCTGCTAAGGAAACACCAAAAATACATAAGTCAAATTAAGGTTAACCATATATATATCATCAGTCTAGTAAAGAATTAAAGAAAAAGAGTAATAATCAACATAGGGTTTAGAAAAAAAAAGAGTATTGAAAATAAAAAATATCAACTTTTTGTCAGAAACTTCTAAGGTACTGTATCTAAAGGAGAGTAGTAATTTAATTACTGAAAGAGTAATTAAAAAGTGGGGATAATACTAGTACCCACTACTATCCTACAGAATGGTTTGAGGATTAAATAAACATGTAAAGACTTAGAACAGTGCCAGAAATATATTATGTCAATTATTACTTATAATGAAACAGATATTATCAATGGCCAATATAAGGTGAAATCTCCTGTGAGGTAGAGAAAATTAATCAACTTTTCTCAAAACTGGCATAAAACATTTTTAAATTCATCCAATTCTTTCTCCTCTGATGCTACTTAATAAGTACCTCTGAGATCTACTGACGTAGGTTAGAATGGGAGGCTGATCTTAAGTTTCCCAACAGATGGAAAGGTCTACCTTTCATTAAAAGATATTTTTTCAGGTTTATTAATCAACTTTTTGTAGGATTGATTACTTTTAATAGGAACCCCAACCTCTGAGAAACTGTGGATACATTGGTAAGATCAAATTTTTGGATCTGAAAACTTTCGAGATATATCATCCTGTGAAGTCTTACTGAGGTTGCAGAATGCCTTTTAGGTACTGCTATGGCAGCAACATACAATGAAGTCTAACTATGAGACAAACAATTTATATTTTTACTACATGGTAATGTTACCAAAACAGGGAGTTTTGATATGTCCTTTATTTGCTAATGAGCAAACACCTCTTAAATACCTTCTGAGCTGAATTTATTATACAGTTCTCTCTCTCTCTCTCTCTCTCTCTCTCACACACACACACACACACGCACACACACACAAAATCACATCCTAAACCTGAACTATAATCTATTAGAAAATACTCCAATTTTACTAACAAAGAAACAATTATCTCTAATAACAGACTTCTATAAATTGATGAACAACCTATACAAAAAAAGGAATTTTGAGTCTATTGAAAAATAATTTCAAGAAACAAACAAAAAAGACATTGTGACAAAAGGTGGGGATCCCGTCAACCCCAAAACTTGCAAAATATAAAAAGAATAAAGAAATAATAGAATTCCCATCTTATAGATGAGGAAAAATTAGGCTTACTTATCTGGAATAACAAAGCAGGTATAGGTTGGTGCCACAGACCTATGTCTGTACCTAAGCTGTAAAGCCTTAACTATTGTCACTTATCTTTTTTTTCTGCATTCTTAAGGATGTTTCTGAAATTAGTCCTCCAGGCTATACTACTGATCTGATATTTTTATGTGTCAATTTTCCCCTTTACCATTTGCAATGTAGAATTAATTGAACCTTGCCTTTCAAACTTCTTTAAATTCTTTTTACCTTAGCCAGATAACTTTTACATCAAAATCCCAGACTGTATTTCCATTTCTTCATTAATAGAAACCCCGATTTCTTCTATTTTATTGAGAACAAAACCTAAAACATTCTGTTTATTAGAACAAATTATTTTAAGATATGCTTTGCCTTTTCTTTTCTTTCTTAATGCACATAATCTTTTTAATGGCCCATCTCTGGTCCTAAATGAGATCAATAAATTTTACCATTTTGAACTCAGGCTGTCCCAGTGGGTTGCATACATCCCCTAAACCTATCTCTGGTGGATTTCAGTACTCTTATTCTGTGGCTCTGCTGAAATTAAATGGAATATGCTGTTCCTGTCTCGTTTTGAGGGGCTGTGAAGAGAATTTACTCCCGAGACGTACAACAATTTTTTTTTTTCATTAACTGCTACTGTTCTATTAGTTTGGGTGATACTGCTTCTTCTTTATCTAATGCCTCTGTGATCTCATTCACTAGTTTCCATACAAAATTCCTCCACAGTATAACACTAGTAGAGGCTCAATAGTTACACATGGAAAAACAATTAGCTACTACTGCTTTATATAATGTTAGAAATGTTTTAAAAAATAGCAAGGGAGATTATGCACATAATATTCCAATTTTATGTTAAAAAACTTTATATCTATCCTTTGAACAGAAATTGTTTTTCTGTCTGTAAAAATAAGGGTAACCATCACCATCATGCCTATCTTACAAGGCTACTACAACAATAAAAGAGGCAATGTGAGTACTACAGTGAAAAGATTCTAACTAATAGTTGTTTGAATACCTGTCACTACCTACCAGACTTGAGGTAAATAAAGGTCAAGGATTTAACATTTTTATGTTCTCTGGAGTGACTTCAATATAGTAGATAATCAATAAATATTTGAAATAACTAAACTTTCTTTGTTCCAAGTGTTAGAGCTCAACTTGGAAGTCCAAGATATATTTGGTCAACACTTTCTACAAAAATAGTGCACAGGTGTAGAGAGCAAAAGTGGTTTTTTGCAGAGGCTATTAGCAGGTACTTAGTACACAAATGTATGGTGTCAGATAGGAGAACGCCAATTAGAAAACAGGAAACCATGGAGGAAGGTCAAGAGCTGGGAAAAATGTAAAGAATGGGAAAGTTTTGGAAAGAAAATTAAGGTACAGACTGATCTCCCTGAAATGAATACTGAAAAAAAAATGGTTAAAGACAAAATAAGATATAGCACTTGTGTAAAGGGAAGTTTAGGAATTTAGTTTTTCCTTAGATCACCTAGTCTATTTTAGTTTTTAATGAAGATCAGTTATGTAGACTAGGGGATACAGAGGACTGCCTTCAGGGAGCTTACAGTTTAGATGAGAGCATAAAACACCTATTTATTATGTTCTTTCTAAGTTTTGGGAACTGTGATTTTAGACCAGTTGGTCTCAGTGGGTGGTCCTCTGACCAGCAGCATTGCCTGGGACTTGTCAGAAATTGTTGAGAGCCACAGCAGAAGGGGCCCCAGCAAACTTTCAGACTGCCAGCTGATGATTGGCTCAAAATCTAGCTGATTGGCTCCTCTGCGGTGATGCTCATTGGGCTGTTTCCCCGCCCTTTCAGACTACTGAGCTGCTCATTGGGGGACTTTTTTTGGCTCCGCCCACACGACCCAGCCAATTGGCCTCAAGAGCAGGAGGAGGGGGGAGGTTGAGAGGCTTGTGGGAAGCCGGTGGTGGCAGTTGGGCTCTGAGGGTTTTTCCTGAGGAGCTGTTTTGTTTGGTGTGTGTGGTTCTAAAAATAAAGTTAGTTTCTTTTGACAAGTGGCTCCTGAATTGTGCCCAGCCAGACTGCGACAAATCATAGGACATCTCAGATCTGTTGAATCACAAACTCTAGGTGTGGAGCCTGGCAAGCTGTGCTTTGATAGGACTATCAAGCGTTTCCAATACACACTAAAGTTTGAGAACCACTGAAGGAAACATGAGATTTAGAGCAAGATTTTATGGGAATCTGAACACCTGGACAGAGATTGTTTGAATACTATCATCTTTCTAAGAAGTGGTCCTGTGGTATGACCCTGAGAATTCACAGGCTGAGGGTCAGAGGCTATTAACTTCCTCCTGTCCCTCAGAGATCTTACTTGGCAGGATTGAGAAGGCTACTGTTTCTCTTCCTTTTCTAGGAAAGGAGTCACAACCATGTGTGTCAAGTCCTACTTATGCTCTTCTTTAAAGCCTTCTTACAACTAGGTCTTGGGCTCGTATTTACAGAAATAACAAGTCAAGACAGTATGACAGATTATCCTAAATTTAGTTAGTCTACTATAATTAATGATTTCAGAAAGGAACTACGAAAGTATATGAAAACCTAGTTTTAAGAAATTAACTTACTTCATTAATATTCATTTGCAAGGCAATATAAAATACAATAGAAGTGGTTTTAAGTTTTAATAATAATTAAACATACTGTGACAGTTTCAAGTCTCTGCTTCACTATCTGCATCTTTGTTGAAGAATTTTCAGTGTGGACAAATTCATCAATTTGAAAAGAGCCTTGATGAGGCAGTTTAGGACAGGTACATAAAGCATCTTGGCTTTGGTGTATTCCAGGTAATGGAAATGTTCCATTGTAGCGTTTGAACATTTCAGCCTCCTGCTGCGCTACTGAAAAAAATGAATCCATCATTAGTTTGATTCATCATTGCAAAAGCATAACCAAATGATTAAGCCACGAAACTGTAGCATTCAACAAATGATCAGATACTGCATAACATTTTAAAAACTAGGTTAAAAAGACAACATAACTGACAAAATATATAAAATTACTAGATACACTAAAACCACAAGAAAGGAAATATTGGGGGCTGGGGATATAGCTCAGTTGGTAGAGTGCTTGCCTCACATGCACAAGGCCCTGGGTTCAATCCCTGGCACAGCAAAAAAAAAAAAAAAAAAAAAAGAAATATAATTATTTCACAATTTCATGTCAAACAGTATTGTAATTGAGCCTTAAAAAGGCCATGCAAACTGATATGGGAGCATAACTTGTTGAACACAGGTATATATAAAACAGAATATTAAAAAAAACAGGGATCAAAGATATTTAAAGAGATGTTATAATAATAAAAATAAATATTCACAAATCCATCTCACTATAATTGTTCTCATGTTTCTATATATCTCTTCCAATCTTTATACTTACATACTTTTATAAAAAATGCCACAAGGTGAATATATTTTAATGCTTTCTCAATTAAATGAAAATTTTCTCATATATCTACAATGATACAATTAACATGTTTTATAATATCTAATGAAGTAACATAATTTTTAAATACATTTTCCAATTACTGAATATTTACAATGTTTTCTGTTTTTCCTTATTATAGACATTGCATGAATAAGTTCTTTCAAAGTGGACTTCACTTCTTAACATATTTTCTATTTTGTATTTAATTCCCCAGAGTGGGAAAGATGACTCAATGACTCAAAGGTGATTTTTTTAAAACTCATTTTATTTTATTTTTTATTTTTTAGAGAGAATATTTTAATATTTATTTTTTAGTTTTCGGCGGACACAACATCTTTGTTTTGTATGTGGTGCTGAGGATCGAACCCGGGCCGCACGCATGCCAGGCGAGCACGCTACATCCCCAGCCCCTAGGTGATGTTTTTTGATGATGATGACCACAATGACAACCACAGCCATGAGAACACTGCACTGTACTTTTATGTTTTTTTAGGAAGCTTTCACATATTTTATCTCATGTGATCATTTAAAATAGATGAATCTGAAACAATTTTTAATGCCTATCTGTATACACAGAGAAAAATGTATACAATCATCATTTAAAAAGTACTTCCTCACCAAAAAAACAAATAACCCAATCAATAAATGGGCCAAGGACCTGAACAGACACTTCTCAGAAGAGGATATACAATCAATCAACAAATATATGAAAAAATGCTCATCATCTCTAGCACTTAGAGAAATGCAAATCAAAACTACTCTAAGATTTCATCTTACTCCAGTCAGAATAGCAGCTATTATGAAGACAAACAACAATAAGTGGGGGAAAAGGTACATTCATACACTGCTGGTGGGATTGCAAATTGATGCAGCCAATCTGGAAAGCAATATAGATTCCTTGGAAAACTGGGAACGGAATCACCATTTGACCCAGCTATTCCTTTCCTCGGTCTATACCCAAAGGATTTAAAAGTAGCATAGTACAAGGACACAGCCACATCAATGTTTACTACAGCACAATTCACAATAGCTAAACTGTGGGACTAACCTAGATGCCCTTCAGTAGATGAATGGATAAAAAAAAAGTGGCATATATAAACAATGGAATATTACTCAGCAATAACAGAGAATAAGATCATGGCATTTTCAGGTAAATGGATGGAGTTGGAGAAGATAATGCTAAGTGAAGTAAGCCACTCCCAAAAAAACCAAAGGCCGAATGTTCTCTCTGGTAAGTGGATGCTGATCCCTAATTGGGGGGGTAGGAGGATGGAAAAAATGAAGAACTTTTTTATTTGGGGAAAGGGGAGAGAGAGGTGGGGAAAGTGCATGGGGGCAAGAAAGATGGTGTAATGATGGACATGATTACCCTATGTACATGTATGACTGCACATATGGTATGAAGCTACATTGTATGCAACCAGACAAATGAAAAGTTGTGTGCAAATGAAGGCAGAACTAAGAAGAAAGTTCATTTCATGAAGTTCAATCCTTAAAAGAAGAAAATGTCAACAAATAAATGACTTAACATTACATCTCAAAGCCCTAGAAAAGAAAAACAAATCAACACCAAAAGCAGTAGAAGATAGGAAATAATCAAAATCAGAGCTGAAATCAATGAAATTGAAACAAAAGAATCTATTGGAAAAATTGACAAAACAAAAAGTTGGTTCTTTGAAAAAAATAAATAAAATTGACAAATGCTTAGCCATGCTAATGAAAACAAGGAGAGAGAAAAGTCAAATTACAAACATACATGATGAAAAAGGAAATATCACAATAGACACTACAGAAATACAGATGATAATTAGAAATTATTTTGAAAACTTGTACTCCAATAAAATAGAAAATATCAAAGGTATTGACAAACTCTAGAGTAATATTATTTGCCCAAATCGAATCAGGATGATATACCCAATTTAAACAAATCAAATTTTAAACAAGAAAATGGAAGATGCCATCAAAAGCCTATTAACCAAAAAAAAAAAAAAAAAAAGCCTGGGACCAGATGGAGTTCTACAAGACCTTTAAAGAAGAACTAATACCAACACTCTTTAACTTATTTCAGGATATAGAAAAAGAGGAAGCATTTCCAAACTCATTCTATGAGGATAATATCACCCTGATTCCAAAACCTGGCAAAGACATATCAAAGAAAGAAAACTTCAGACCAATATCTCTAATGAACACAGATGCAAAAATTCTCGCAAATCAAATACAAAAACATATCAAAAAGACAGTACACCACGATAAAGTGGAGTTCATCCCAGGGATGCAAGGTTGATTCAATGTATGGAAATGAATAAATGTAATTCATTACATCAATAGACTTAAAGATAAGAACCATATGATCATCTCAACAGATGCAGAAAAAGCATTCAACAAAATACAGTACCCCTTCATGTTCAAAACATTAGAAAAATTAGGGATAACAGGAACATATCTCAACATCATAAAAGCTATCTGTGCTACGTCCAAGGCCAACATCATTCTAAATGGAGAAAAATTGAAAGCATTCCCTCTAAAAACTGGAACAAGACAGGGATGCCCTCTTTCACCACTTTTATTTAACATAGTTCTTGAAATACTGGCCAGAGTAATTAGATGGACAAAAGAAATTAAAGGGCTACAGATAGAAAAAGAAGAACTCAAATTAGCACTATTTGCCGACAATATGATTCTATACCTAGAAGACCCAAAAAATTCCACCAGAAAACTTCTAGAACTAGTAAATGAATTCAGGAAAGTAGCAGGTTACAAAATCAACACCCATAAATCAAAGGCATTTCTGAATATCAGTGACAAATTCTCTGAAAGGGAAATGGGGAAACTACCCCATTTACAATAGCCTCAAAAAATGAAATAAAATAAAATACTTGGGAATCAACCTAACAAAAGAGGTGAGATAACTCTCTATAAAATGAAAACTACAGAATGCTAAAGAAAGAAATTAAAGAAGACCTTAGAAGATGGAAAGATCTCCCTTGTTCTTGGATATGCAGAATTAATATTTTCAAATTGACCATACTACCAAAAGCATTACACAGATTAATGCAATTCCAATCAAAATCTCAATGATATTCCTCATAGAAATAGAAAAAGCAGTCATGAAATTCATCTGAAAAAATAAGAGACCCAGAGTAGCTAAAGCAATCCTTAGCAGGAAGAGTCAAGCAGGTGGCATCACTATTCCAGACCTTAAACTATACTACAGAGCAATAGTAACTCTTTTGGTGGTATTGGCACCAAAAGAGACTGGTAGACAAATTGTACATAAAAGAGGACACAGAGACTAACCCACATAATTACAGTTATCTTATATTAGACAAAGGCATCAAAAATGTACATTGGAGAAAAGATAGCCTCATCAACAAACAGTGCTGGGAAAACTGGAAATCCATATGCCACAAAATGAAATGAAGCCTCTCTCTTACGATGCACAACTCAAAGTGGATAAAGTTAGGAACTAAACCAGAGACCCTGTGCCTAATAGAAGAAAAAGTAGGCCCAAACATCCATCATATCGGATTAAGCTCCTACTTCCTTAACAAGACTACTATAGTGCAAAAATTAAAATCAAGAATTAATAAATGGAATGGATTCAAACCAAAAAGCTTCTTCTCAGCAAAAGAAACAATTGGTGAGGTGAATAAAGAGTCTACATCTTGGGAGCAAATCTTTACCCCTCACACATCAGATAGAGCACTAATCTCTAGGGTCTATAAAGAACTCACAAAGCTAAACTCAAAAAAAAAAAAAAAAAAAACCCAATCAATAAATGGGCAAAGGACTTAACAGATGCTTCTCAGAAGAGTATATACACTCAATTAATAAATATATGAAAAAATGTTCAACATCTCTAGCAATTAGAGAAATGCAAATCACTCTAAGATTTCATCTCATTCCAGTCAGAATGGCAGCTATCAAGAATACAAACAACAATAAGTGTTGCGAGGATGTAGGGAAAAAGGTCCATTCATACATTGCTGGTGGGACTGCAAATTGGTGCAGTCAATACGGAAAGCAGTATAGAGATTCATTGGAAAACTGGGAACGGAACCACCTTTCTACCCAGCTATCCCTCTCCTCAGTCTAAACACACAGGACTTAAAAACAGCATCCTCCAGGGACACAGCCACATTAATGTTTATTGCAGCACAATTCACAACAGCTAAACTGTGGAACCAACCTAGATGTCCTTCAGCAGATGAATGGATAAAGAAAAATGTGGCATATATACACAATGGAATATTATTCAGCAATAAAAGAGAATAAAATCATGGCGATTGCAGGAAAATGGATGGAGGTGGAGAAGATAATGCTAAGTGAAGTCAGTTAATCCCCAAAAAACAAATGCCAAATGTTTTCTCTGATATAAAAAGACTGATTCATAGTGGGGTTGGGAGGGGGAGAA